GGTCTCAAGTACCTCACCCCTGCTCAGCCTCAGGTCTCAAGTACCTCACCCCTGCTCAGCCTCGGGTCTCAAGTACCTCACCCCTGCTCAGCCTCGGGTCTCAAGTACCTCACCCCTGCTCAGCCTCGGGTCTCAAGTACCTCACCCCTGCTCAGCCTCAGGTCTCAAAAGTCTTTATGCCCCAGCATCCGTGTCCTCTCTGGCTGCCCGCATCTCCCTCTGTTGTTGATTTTTAACTGAATTCTGTTGTGGCTGAAGGACTCTGTAGGATTTCATTTCCTTTAGATTTACAGAGCCTTGTCTTACATCCAGCAGATGGTCTCCTTGACAACCATTCTATGACCTCTTGAGATGATGTTTATTTTGCTGATGGCTGCAAAGGACCAATTGGTTTAAGTTTATTGATAACCTTCCAGTCTTCTACTGTTTTTCTGTGTGTGTTTATCAATCACTTAGAGAGTTTATATCTTCAACTATAATTATGCATTTAACTGTTTTTTTTTTCAGTTAAATATTTTCTGTACTGGGCAAAAGGAGTACTGGGGATTTATGCTGTGGCATAAAGACTTTTGAGACCCGAGGTTGAACACATGCTGGGCACGTGCTCTACCACAGCTACAGCCTCGGTCCCCAGTTGTGTTTTTGCACCTTGCATTTTGAAGCCTAAGTACTAAGCATCTACTGAGCACCTACTGAGCACATACTCAGTACCTACTCAGTACCTACTCAGCACCTACTCAGTACCTCACATTTATAATTTTTATTTCTCCTCTTAGTAATGTTATCACTCCTAGTGACCTATTCACCACTGAGAATCTATAGCATTCTGCAATTTTTTTCCCCCGGCGGCTGGTTGGTTGGCTGGCTGGTTTTTGTTTAATCTAATAAATGTGGTTACTCTAGGGGATGGGGGACACATCTCAGCAGCTAACAGCTCCTTTTTTTGGAGGACTTGTATTAGTTCCCAGGCCACCTGGGGCAGCTCACACCTACCTGGAACTCCAGCTCTAGGTGGCTCTGATGCCCTCTTCTGACTCTTGTGGGCATCTGCACTTACATGCCCACTCTCCCTCTCCCTCTCCCCCCCCCCTCTCTCTCTCTCACACACACACACAATTAAAAAATAAAACTACCAGGCATGGTAATGTAAGCCTTTAATCCCAGCACTCAGGAGGCAGAGGCAAGGGAATCTCTGAGTTCCAGGCCAGTCTGGGCTACACAATGAGATCCTGTCTCAAATAAATAACAATTTATTGTTTGTTTGTTTGTTTGTTGCTGTTGTTGTTGTTTTGGCTTTTCCAGACAGGGTTTCTCTGTGTAACAGCTCTGGCTGTCTTGGAACTCATTCTGTAGACCAGGCTCACTTCAAACTCATAGAGATCAGCCTGCCTCTGTTTCCCAAGTTCTGGCATTAAAGGCATGTGCCACCATGCCCAGCCAAAATATTTTTTTTTTTTAGTGTGGCTACTCTAGTTTTATGTTCTGTTTTGTTTTGAGACAAGGTCTCACTATGTAGCCCAGGTTTCCTCAGACTCCATATTCTCCTGCCTCAGCTTCCCAAGTGCTGGAAAGATAGGCATGAGGTCCTGTACCTGACTTTGAACTTGTTTTGGTGACTGTTCTCTGGTGTATCTTCTCCCAAGCTGTACTTCAATGTGTTTCCACATTTAAAGTGGATTCCTTGGCTGAACTTGGTGGCACATGCCTGTGATCACAGCATTCTGAGATGAAGAGAGAGAAATCACATGTGGAAGGCCATATTGAACTGCATTGTGAGACCCTGTCTATAAATTAAATAAATAATAGCAGAGTGCAGTCTCCAAAAAATAAATGAATAAATAAATAGAAACTGGAGATATAGAGAGATGGCCCAGAGGGTAAGAGCATATGCTAGATACTTGATCATGAGGACCAGGGTTCAGATCCCATGTCTGGCAGCTCTCAAATGCCTGTAACTCCAGCTCTAAGCTCTCTAACAAACCTTCTGGCCTCTCCTGGCATCTGTACTTGAACATGCACACATGCACACGTACGCTTGCTCACACACACACACACACACACACACACAAATAAAATAAAATCTTAAAAGAAAAAATTGAGGACAGGACCCCCAAAAGAAAGAAAGAAAAGGGGGTGCATTTCTTGTGGGTCTACATACAATAATAGTGTCTTGCAACTCCACCCTGTTTGACAATGTGTGCCCTGTAACTGCCGCAGACGGGCCATGTACACCTGATGAGACTCCAATATGCTTGGTTTAACTATCATTGCTGTTCGTGTTTTCCTGTTTGTTCTCTCTGCTCTCTTCTCCTTTTCCTTGTCTGCTGTCTTTTGGCTTATGAGTGTGGTGATTATATTTGTTTTGTTTTTGAGTCTGGGTCTCATCCTGTAGCCCAAGATGGCCCAGAACTCAATATGTAATCCAGACTGACCTTGAACTCACAACAATCTTCCTGACCAGGCCTCCCAAGTGCTAGGCTTACAGGAGTAAGTCACTATGCCTAGATTTAGATTGCATATTTCTAAATATCTATTTATTTATTTTGGTTTTTTGAGACAGGCTTTCTCTGTGTAAGCTCTGGCTGTCATAGAACTCTCTTTGTAGACCAGGCTGGCCCAGAACTCACAGAGTCTGCTTGCATCTCTGCCTCCCAAGTGCTGGGATTAAAGGTGTGCACTACCCCCCAGCTAACTACTTATTTTTAAATTACTTTTATAAGTGTGTTAGAGTGTGTGTGTGTGTGCGTGTGTCTGTCTGTCTGCGTGCGCACATGCCTGTGTGCATGCAGGCCACAATAAGGCATCAGAGCTCATGGAGCTGGAGTTACAGGCTGTTGTGAGTCAAGTAATGGGAGTGATGGGAACCAAACTGGGGTCCTCTGTAAAGGCAACAAGTGCTCTTAACTGCTGAGCCATCTCTCAGCTGATGGATTCTGTATATATTATGGCTTTGTATTGTCCACATTTAAGCAGTTCCAAGTTTTCTCTTTGGATCCTAGAAGTACCAAGACTCTTTCTCGATCTGTGAGAAATGGTTTCACCATGATATTAAACATTGTTTGCATTTCCCATTCTCTCACGAGCACACAGTGCCTGCAGCAGCCTCCTCCTGTCCTATGGGGATACTGTATAGAGGAACAACAGGAGAGAAGAGCCATGAACATCAGGTTTTAGGAGCTAGTCTTTACCAGATAATCAATGTGGGATACTACCTGATTATGCATGGAAAAAATATCCACTCAAAATGCAAGTAGTGGGACTGGAGAGATGCTCACCAGTTAAGAACAGTTCCTAGCGTCCATGTTGGGCAGCTCATAACCCATCACCACTACCCTTAACTCCATCCTCTGGACTCTGAGGGTGCGTGTGTGCGTGCGTGCGTGCGTGCGTGCGTGCGTGCGTGCGTGCGTGCGTGCGCATGCTCGCGCGCACCATAGTATGTGTATGGAGACCAGGACAACTTTAACTAATGAAAAAAAAAACTATCTTAAGACTCCCCAAGAAGGGAATTGGAGATGAGTCAGTGGCTGTTCTTCCAGGGGACCCAGGTCCAGTTCCCAGCACCCACATGGCAGCTCACAGCTGTCTGTAACTCCAGTTCCAGAGGATCTGACACCTTCACACAGACGTACATGCAGGAAAAACACCAGTGCTCATAAAATAGAAATAAATAGAGTTCTGGGCAAACCGCCTACAGCAGAAACATCAGCAGGCACACATCAGCTTGTCGTCTTCTCCCTTCACCCTCCTCACTCCTGTGCCGCCAGGTCCCGTGACCATCCACAGGCCTCTGCTCCTTGCTGCCCCCTAGTGGATGTTCCACAACAAGCCGCCCTGTGCGTGGGGTGTGTCCCCCAGCACCTTTCTCACGCTCCTAAAATTATTATTCATGCTTTATTGGAGCTGCTTTCAATGCTTGAGGCTTTGCCCGGGCTCTGAAAACCCCGAGTGAAACTAGTTCCTCACTGGGAAGCCTCGGCAGGTGGCTGCCTGCTCTCAGATATCACATGCCCAGGCAGCTCTCAGAGGGGCGGGCACAGCCCAGAGATGTGCCGGCAGAGAATGCCACACGTGTCGGTTGCCCACATCAGAATTAAGGCTTGGGGAAAGAAGGCCATAGGCCGGCCGGCTGTTCTCTGCAACAGTTCAAACCATCTGGCAATCTCTGAAAAGCAAATATGCAAAAGGTTAAAAATAATCGGAAGCAGGGTGGCCTCGAAGTTGTGTGCTTGGGCAAAACTTCCAGAGCCCTGAAGAGGAAAATAAGGCCACCCCCAAACAGCCTGCCTGAGACTTTACCTCCCAGGGCAGAAATTGTGAACACACACCCCTTGGCTCTCCAGCTGTTGAACAATGGACCCAGTGAATTAGAATTTCCCCAAGCATCTCATGCTGAGCCTGGAAGCCAGAAAGGGCTGAAGCCTGGTGCCAGCCAGACAATTCCACACAGTTCTGACAACACCAGACCACCTTACTGGAGAGACAGGAGCTGAGACTATGATGGGGTGGGCCCACACCTAGGTCCCTGTCCTGGATCTTGCTCTGTAGACCAGGCTGGCCTTGAACTCACAGAGATCCACCTGGCTCTGCCTCACGAGTGCTGGGATTAAAGGCGTGTGCCACCACTGCCTGGCAGTTCACACACCTCTTGTCTCCCCTCATGTTATGACCTGGAAGATGGACTATTGGAAGTCACTGGTTTGCTTCTCCCAGTGTGTCCACACTGCTCCTTTCTCTCTCTCTCTCTCTCTCTCTCTCTCTCTCTCTCTCTCTCTCTCTCTCTCTCT